ATACAATGGCAAAATGACAGTCTCTTCAACAGATGGTGCTGGCAAAACTGGACAGCTACATGTAGGAGAATGAAACTGGACCATTGTCTAACCCCATATACAAAGGTAAACTCAAAATGGATCAAAGACCTGAATGTAAGTCATGAAACCATTAAACTCTTGGAAAAAAACATAGGCAAAAACCTCTTAGACATAAACATGAGTGATCTCTTCTTGAACATATCTCCCCGGGCAAGGAAAACAACAGCAAAAATGAGCAAGTGGGACTACATTAAGCTGAAAAGCTTCTGTACAGCGAAAGACACCATCAATAGAACAAAAAGGAACCCTACAGTATGGGAGAATATATTTGAAAATGACAGATCTGATAAAGGCTTGACGTCCAGAATATATAAAGAGCTCACACGCCTCAACAAACAAAAAACAAATAACCCAATTAAAAAATGGGCAGAGGAACTGAACAGACAGTTCTCCAAAAAAGAAATACAGATGGCCAACAGACACATGAAAAGATGCTCCACATCGCTAATTATCAGAGAAATGCAAATTAAAACTACAATGAGGTATCACCTCACACCAGTAAGGATGGCTGCCATCCAAAAGACAAACAACAACAAATGTTGGCGAGGTTGTGGAGAAAGGGGAACCCTCCTACACTGCTGGTGGGAATGTAAATTAGTTCAACCATTGTGGAAAGCAGTATGGAGGTTCCTCAAAATGCTCAAAATAGAAATACCATTTGACCCAGGAATTCCACTTCTAGGAATTTACCCTAAGAATGCAGCACTCCAGTTTGAAAAAGACAGATGCACCCCTATGTTTATTGCTGCACTATTTACAATAGCCAAGATATGGAAGCAACCTAAATGTCCATCAGCAGATGAATGGATAAAGAAGATGTGGTACATATACACAATGGAATATTACTCAGCCATAAGAAAAAAACATCCTACCATTCGCAACAACATGGATGGAGCTAGATGGTATTATGCTCAGTGAAATAAGCCAGGCGGAGAAAGACAAATACCAAATGAAAAAAGAAGAAAGGAAAGCTGAAGGAACAAAACAGCAGCAGAATCACAGAACCCAAGAACGGACTAACAGTTAACAAAGGGAAAGGGACTGGGGAGGATGGGTGGGAAGGGAGGGATAAGGGTGGGGAAAAAGAAAGAGGGCTTTACGATTAACATGTATAGTGCGTGAGGGGCACAGGGAGGGCTGTGCAGCACAGAAAGGACAAGTAGTGATTTTACAGCATCTTACTACGCAGATGGACAGTTACTGTGAAGGGGTATGTGGGGGGGACTTGGTGAAGGGGGTAGCCTAGTAAACATAATGTTCTTCATGTAATTGTAGATTAATGGTACCAAAATTTAAAAAAATAATTAATTAATTAAGTAGTTAATTGATATCTTTTAAAAACAGACCATCAAAACACAATCTAGAGACTTTTACTATAATGTAAAAATGTACACTAACCACTCAAACTACTTTTCTCTGCTTTGTCATGACCACCCATATTCTGGGAGCCATTTTAAAGATTTGAGTGTAAGATGCTGATATCTCAGAAAAAAACTATTCCCTCTTGGCCTCATCCTCACCAAGATTGCTGGAACTAACATCAGCCAGCTCAGAATAGAGTTTATGAAAGTAGACAGTGCATTCACTACTCCCATTCAGCACATGAGGCTTGATGTATTTGATTCATTTTCTCCTTTGTACTTTGTCCTTCCTTCCCACTATATCACTTGTGTAGAGGGTCCCCAAGGCTACTCCCAGGTTTGCTGGTTAGCTAGGAAGATTCAGAGGACTCAGCCTGTGGTCATATTCATAGCTAAGATTTATTGCAGTAAATAGATGCAAAGTTAAATCAGCAAAGAGAAGAGGCACATGGATCAAAGCTTAAAGGAAATCAGGTACAAGCCTCCAAGAATGCTCTCCCAGTGGAGTCATGTAAGATGCACTTAATTCCTCCACTAATAAATTACAACAATATGTGTGAGATATTGTCAGCCAGGGAAGCTCATTAGAGACTGAGTTGCCAAGGTTATTACTGGGGGCTAGTCACATAAGTACTGTCTTGCTAGCAAGTACCAAAATTCCAGACTCCCAAAAGCAAAGTAGTTGTTGAGTGTAAACCACATTATTTGCATGAATGGGTTGGGCACAATGTAGCACTCTTATTTTTGAGAGAATGTTTTCAATCAGTCTAGAGAACTGCTTATCAGTCAAGTTCTCAGATGCCAGCCAAGTGCCAGCCTAGCAGACAGGCCTTTCTAACAGCAACAGTCTTATACATACTATGTTGATGTTTTTCTGAACACTGTTGAATAACTGTTTTATAAGCAGATGGTGAATTCTGAATTTGCCTGTTTTCTACCTCTGGGTATGGAAATCCCTCTCAGTAGGCATCAGTGCCTCCCTTCCTCACTCAAACCCTTACTAAGCTGGTGCAGGTCTCTGGTCAGGAGCCATTTTGGTCATCTTCCATTCGTCCTCTGTCTGTAACTCAGTTGCCAGTCATTGTCCTCAAACTTCATTACATGTGGTTGGAAGTCACAGCTCTGAACCAGTCTGGAATCTAATATCAGGTACCTATGGTTGGTTTGCCCAGCTTCAGGCCTTAAAGTAGCCTCAACTCAAGTACACTTACCAGATACAGAACCTCTGTGAATTATAAGAATATTCCAGCATTCTAACTCTAGCCTATATATCTCATACCAATAGCCCTAACACTGTCCCTATAGCTAATATCAATCTCCATATCTCCCATTTTTTTATTCCAACACTATGAGCAACTTCCAATTGAATACACATTATAAAATATTAGAAAGAAATTGAAAACCAAGATCATCATGTGACAATAAAACAATTAAATTTTGGAAGAAATTGGCTAAAACATATTACTCAATTCTCAGTGAAAAACTCATAGTCCCCTTATAAGAGAAAACGTTCTTAAGTCATTTAGACTATTCGAGCTCTGACCTTTGGAGACTGTCTAACCCAGTGCTTTTTAAACTGTAGATGTCAACTTGTTAGTAGATAAAGTATTCCTTAGGTCATTCACCTTGTCTCCAAATGTCAGAGCTAGAATAATCTAAGCCAGTATTTTTCAAACTGAAGATCTCAACCTATTAGTAGGTAGTGAAATAAACATAGCTGATCTCAGGAAACATTTTATTTTCAAAATAGAGGAGAATAGCAAATATCCATGTTTTGCACTTAGTACAGGTATCATGAAACTTGTTTCAGTTTCAGTAGAGTGTGTATGTGTGTGTGTGAGAGAGAGAGAGAGAGAGAAATCATAGGTCATAAGGTAATATTTTGCTCTTTAATATGAGTCATGGTCAAAAAAGTTTGAAACTTTGGACATCAAAGTCCCTCTGATGCTACAGCTAGAGATCCAGGAAAAGGAAATCACTTGACAATATCAGTACAGAGTACATAGATGGCTGTGTCTACAGTCTTTTCCTTCTTATGGAAGTAGGGCTATTAAACCCAAATGAAATTTTCTTGTAGACTGGCCTTTCATATCAAGTAAAGACAGGAGAGCATAGCCTTTTTAATATTTAAAATGACATATCAAGGAAAAGCTGCTACCTTCCAAGTTTAGGAGCAGCACAATTAGGGGAATTTGGATGAGTCAAGGAAATCTACATCAAGAAATGTTAAGTCAGTAAAATCAAGAACCAAACTATAGATATTAGAATAACAACAAGGACTAGAATAAAAGAGCAGCGTAGGACATGTTTAAATATACCTAGTTCCTCTTTCCCAGTACCACAAAAACCAGTCTTAAATCTAAAGGGAGGCTATACTAGAGGTTGAAGCACCCTACCTACCCACTTCCCCTAAGCTCTGTCTATTGTAGACATTACTGTAGAAGGCCTCCTTAGTAACAGTTCAACCAGAGAAATACCTTTTGTTTTTACCTTCCACAAACTGTAAAGTTGCCTGCAAACACTGCTAGATATTTTTCACCTTAGTGTTTACTGATACATGGTAGGCTGTTTCATTTTGAAATTAAGGGTAGTTAAGAGCTGTTCAGGTGAATAAAAGTACCCCAATTAGAAATCCTATCATCTAATTGCCCAGATCATATTTGCAGAGTTCAGGTTACACAGACAAGCTTCTTAAGATACATGTTGTTTTGAACTAATAGACTGTTGAAAGTAAGCTATGGCTTAGAGTGGTGGGTTTCAAACTCATCTCCAGAACCTAGGGTTCCATGGAAGTGTTTAGGGGTGGCATGGCGATAAAGGAAAAGCTATGCAGGCAGGGCTCAATACTGAGCTTCCCTCCCTGAGGCTGTCCAGAACAGCTTTAACTTGGTAGGTTTTATATATGAGGATACTAGTGAGATTCTATTTTGAAGATTTCTTTAAAGGATTTTGCTGTCAAAAAAGTTTGAAAATAGTTCTTAGGTGCTTAGTTAAGGGCTTTTGGAAATGAATTAATCATCTCAAGTTACCATTGTTATTGCTTCAGTATTCTAAATCATTGACATGGAATTATGTACCTTTTAAAGTCCTTAGCTATTTAGTTAATTGGATCTTTCACCTTCCTTAGGAGTTAATCAGAAAGATACATTAAGAGTGTCCCTTTCAGTTTAACATGGTATCACAGACATGGTAGTTGATCAGTTCTCTATATTACCATGCCTTATTAGATAGTTGAAGAAAATGTGTTTCAACTTTGGGTTTCTTGCCATGTGAAAAAATACCTAGTTTTTAAAAATAAGAAAATAAGCAACTCCCTTTATGTAGGTAATTATCAATGTTAGGTTGAGAGTACTTAAATTGGGCATGACAACAAGGGGTATTAATTGAATTGTGATCCTTAAGGACATTTCAGCTACCATCTTGACTTGTATTATTACTTAAAGAGTAACAACATACAGTGATGGCTTAAAGGGCAACGAAGAAAACATTGAAGTTATAAAAGTATCAAGTCTCTGGTAGCATCTGTTCAGATTTTAATAATTTGTTTGAATTTCATAGGTTCTAGGTTTAAGAAAATGGCTTATCCATTGGGACTGGCCACTGTAGGAGCAGCTGTTTGCTACCCCGTTCAGTCAGTAATAATTGCAAAGGTAAGTTCTTTTAAGTGATAGCTGCATTTCAGTATTTGTTTAAACTTTTAGGGTGACAATATTTAAATACCATACAGCACCTGCAGCATTTACTTTTCAGAGAAATATATACTTGGTATCAACTTTTATGTGGCAAAATCACATTAGCATCTTAGCATGATAGGTGACATTCTTAATTACATGAGCATCACAAATAAATAGGATGAATTTTCTTTAAATATAATTTAACAATATGAAAGATTAAATTCAGAGACACTAAATTAGAATTTATGGGGATAAATACCATTCCATTGTTGAGCTGTGAAAAATTCAACTTTTTTTTTTTTTTTTTTTTTTTTTTTTTTTTTTTTTTTT